GTGTCATGTTTTGCCTCCTCTCACAGGCAGATTAACCACTGACACTGGTTTTTCGCTGCACAATGCCTAGGCAAATGCTAGCTGCTTTGCCTGGAAGGTGCTTTGCACTTTGTTCTCTCTTGCTCTGGATGGCAGGCACCTCTTCAAGCAGCTCCTCTGAGCCTGGGGAACAGTTCATAGGCTCTTGGGCTGCAGGTAATCAAATTCAGCTACAGGAATTCAGCTCCCATCAAGGCAACAGGGTCAGGGTGGATTGCACAGATGGTTTCTCAGGGGCAAACTGAACCTCAGTGCTACCTCTGCTTACAGCCTACAGGTTCAAGAGAGATGACTTGTGATTACAGTTTAGGCTATAGCAGCATCAACTCATAGCACAGGGCATTTCATCCTCATGTCAGGCATTGTTCACCAAACACAGTATCAAGACAGACATCATTAGTGACTCCTGGGCAGTGAAGAAACTGGAAGGGTGGGATAGGTTATACTCAAGGAAAAGTACACCCTGTTGGAAACAGGAACACTCCACTTGCTTAGAGGATGCTTTCTAGACAAAAGAAGTCCCAAAAATCAATTGAATCCTCATCCCTTTCTAAAGTGGGCATCTGTTTTCCCTAAGCTAAAAGCAACCATAGCAAACTGTCATTGTCATCATCTCCCCAAAGCTGCCCCCACTGAAAGCCAGATGAGGCACAGCTAGAGCTAGAGACACTTGGCTGACTCCCTCTGCAAGGATGAGGCCATGATAGGCAGAGCAGGAAGAGGACAGAGCAAAGCAGGCAGCACAGTGCCAGACACCCACTTTGTCTAAAAAAAAAAGATGGAGTTGTGTTTTGGCCACTTAGCTAAGACAACACTAGTTTTGTGTCAAGGATGCAGAAACATAAGTTTCCCTGAGGGTGGCAGCATGAGTGAACAGATACCATTAGAAAGAAGGCTTAACTACAACAGGGCTGACAGGTAAAGCCTTCTCACTGCATGGAAATCTAGGAATACACATGCAGACCCCACTCTCTCATTCCCCAAGCAATGCTGATTACTATTCCTTATTCAAGATCAGCCACCACTTCTTTGGATTTGCCTGAACCTTCAGCAACCCAAGACTAACAACTCTCCAACCCCCTGCAAAGCCCCTAAGAGAACAGAGGCATGGACTGGAGCCCCCAGCTGTCTGCAGAAATGAGCAGCAGCAGCTTTTGGGGATTGTTAATGGACTGGGGTCAACTCTGGGGTGCCCAGTTTCATTCCTTTATGTTCTCCCCCCTCACAGGGCCCCTCACTCACATTTATTGACAATTAGCTTTTTGACCCTTGTTGGGGGTTCGTCTCACCCATGTGCTGCAGACAATTCACAGCTAGTGCATGTATTGACAGGTCAGTTATTGACCGGTCAGTTATTGACCCTTACATTTCTCAGTATTTGAGAATTCTTTTCTTTTTCCTCCTGCCATCCACCTTCATCATCCACTCCATGGCCTACCAGAGCTCAGAGAAGCAAGCACTGGAAAAAGATTAGAAGGCAGGCAAAATGTGGATTTTACACCTTGTACACAATCATACTGCCTTGAAAACTGATCCTCATGCCAGGCCTATCAGTCTGTCCTGTGGCAAATACAGTCATCACAGGCTCACTAAGACCCACACGGTCCTGTTTCAAAGTTTCTTCCCAGGCTCATACCCAACCTAATTTAACCTCTCCCCTCAGTCTCCCTTCAGAGACACAGAGACACATGATTTTCTGGGGAAGAGGTAGGAATTCGTTTCCTCATCCCAATTATTCTCTCCCCACCTTTCCCCATGAGGAATCTTGACACGAGAAGCCATCCCTCCCTCTGTGTGCCGAGGCAGCTGCATATTCCAGAAACCCCAATGCTGTACATGGGTTTGGAATTTTGAGATTTTGCCTGATCCGCACTGATCTCAACTAGTACCAAAGAGGTGTCAGGCAAGAGCCACTGCTATGCTCCCACCAGCTGTGGGACAAAAACCCTGAAGTTGTTGAGCAAATGCCAAACCATTACTGATTCTGTCACTTCTCTGAAGGGCTGGACATTGGACACTTCTAGGTCATTTCCCTGCCCAATATGCTTGCACAAGACAAAACCAGCCAAGTTGTATATTATGCAGGAGCAAAACTGACCTCGCTTTTAGGACACAGGTAGCAGTAGGAGCAGATTTGATGTGATGCTCTGACAGACTGAGGCATCTTGGTCAGGTCACTTATGGGAAACCAGGACACACTTACATTAACAGCAGTTCTCCCTCTCCCTTTTGACTATTTAGTTTGCAAACAAAGTGCCTTTTAATGCATGTATTAACCTATGTAGCACAAGGGGAATCCAAGCTCAACTGAGGCCCTTAAGCATGACTGCAATATTCAGAGATGCTCCAGCTCTGCGCAGCTTTCAAACGTTTTCGTTTCTAACATGCAAACACAGAAAGGAGAAATTGCTCTGGACAGCCTTGGACAGGATGTTAAAGAAAGCTCTAGCAGGCAGAAGACCAGAGGAAGGACAAGAAAAACTCCATAGAAAAGTCTAGTATCAGCACCACTAGTTAAAACCCTGCAGAAAGTGTGAGGCACATGGGAGAGGGACTACACTCATGATTTCTATCCTGGACCCAGGTTCTTTCCACATGCAGAGGGTTGCTCTCTCAGATGGAGAGCAGTGCACCAAGCAGCCAGGAGAACCATCTGCTAAACCAGGCAGTGTTTGCCCAGATTGCTATACATTACTATCATGTTAAATCCTCTAGTCTTTGGAACATGTAAAGCCAACTGCCGGCAGCAGTGGAAAGAAGGTGCATCCACTGTTGGAGGTTTTTTATTTGGGCATTTCTCATGCCTCTTCAGGTTATTTGCTGCCAGCAGACAGGCAATAAGACTGCCAAAATTGAGTACCAGCATTTCTGCCTTCCTCTTCATTAGTACACGATTTAATGAAGGAGCATCTTACCACTCCACGCAAGGTTGGAGGTATCAGGCCACAGTAGACAGGGATAAAGGTGCTGCAGACACAAGCCTGAGGGAAAGAGAGATCCAAAATGTAAAAAGCAGATCAAAGCCTACTGAACGTATTACTCTTCTCAGAACACCACACTGGCACGTGCTGACAGTTATACACCATTACTACGGCCATTTGGAGACCAAGGCAAAACAAAACAAGGCAGTTCCTGCCTAGCCCTCCACAGCAAGTTTCTGTCTACCTGGATCAGCTCCTCCTTGGAATTGAAGTCTGACAGTATCACGTTTTCTCCATCAGAGACCCGTGTCAGGGAAATACCCAAACGTCCTGCTGCAACCTCATGCCCATTCTCTGGCACAGTCTTGGACAGGCAGATCCGAATGATCTTCACCAAGTTGAAAGATGGGTGGAGTGGGCCCAAGAACCTCTTCCGGGCTTCTTTTGATACTCGAATAATGCTGGCGCCAGCCTCACCTGCAACAAGAAAAATGCACCATGAAATCCTAGCAAAACCAGCCTTCTCCTTTACAAAACAATGCATAGAAAAGCCTAATTCACAGCTTTTCTCAGAAGTTTCTCCCCACTGTCTGATATAACTCAAGCAAGAGGCTATTATGGGCAGTATTATAGAAGTCACCCAAGTTTGCTATCTTGGCCTTCAAAGAGCTACCCTCATCTTACATATGTTTTATAAAGTCAAGGAAGACGACATGCATCTGGCTAAGGCCTCACACTTTTTCAGTAGATCCTGTTTCACTGGCCAGGGCAGGGCTGGTGAAAACACAGACTAACAAAGAAAACAAGGAAGATGCCTTAACAGCTTTGAACTTATAGCTAAATCCATTTCAAGACATCTTCTATTAAAACTCTTCTAGTAAGTATCATCTTTTTTCTGACATGAGAAAGTCATCTGCCTGTAAGCAGAAGTGCCACTAAATAGGAATGTCAGTGCTTTCCAGGTAAGCTATCCCAGCTTTGCTGTGAATGTCAGTCACATCTCAGGCAAGCAAGATAGACACTATGCTCCATTAGGGAATTGGTAACTTAGTGCCACCTGCAGTGTCTTTAGTGTCCTATCCCTTCCATGTCCAATTCCACAGCACTGAACTAGGCCCTGATGGCAAGCAGGGCTCACAAAGGCATGTATGCTTTACCCTTTCACACAGTGACCCAGCTGGGTTTGAAGAAGAGGAGACATTGCATCCACACAAAAGGGAAGGCATCTGCTAAGCCTATTATCTCACAGTCACTAGGAACCCAATCTGGCAAGAGCATCAGGGCTCTGCAGTAGGAAAGGAGGGATGGGAGAAAACAAAACAAAAACATCAACCCAAGCCAAACCCTCAGCATCTAGCATACTGCCCTTTGCACACACACTGACTGCTGCTTCCACATGCATCTCCCAGCCGTGGTGACATAAAAGACAACAGTTCCTCTGAGTATCAGGCAATCACTGTACTCCCAGGGACACTGGGAATATACATGCCAGAAGAATTAAAGAAACCAGGAGAAAAAGAGATGTGCTTTCACAAATCAAGACTTCTCTCCAATCAAACTGAAGTTCATTTCCTGAAGAAAGATGAAGGACTATCAACTCAAGCCAACTGGAAGTCCCTCTGTTTTGCTTTCCCACCCAGTCTTGCAATTGCAGAAAGGAGGCAGCAGAATGAAAGAACCCAAGTTAGATGCTAGTTAATCAATACAATAGAGATAAGAGCAACAACACCCTCAATGCTGTATTGACACATCCCACTCTTTTGCAATACACTTGTGCCAGCAACATGTTTTCCATCTACACAGCCTGGAAATGTGATTCTGTGCTTAGGAAACCCATCAACACCAGTAGCTCAAGCACACAGAACTGGACCCTTGAACATGACCAGAGACTCTGGGGTCAGGATTTTAGGCACTGTGAGGTAGCAACTTAGTAGAAAACCCAAGTTCCCCCCTCTCAAGCAATTTTTAGCACTATAATCCCAGCCTTTTGCTCTGTCCTAGAGCAATGTTTAGCAGTCTAATTCTGATCTCACTTACTCAATTAGCAGTAAGCCACTGAGCCCAGCCTGTTCAAGATAGTAGCCACATGGTTCAACATCCTTCCCAACATGAAGGAAGTCAGCCTCACAGAAATTACATTTTATCAGCACCATGACATTAGCACTCTTAACACTCCCTAAGACGCCTTCACATCTGACAAGAGGAGAAGACACACAGAATCTGCAGCAGAATCAAAAACTGAATGAATCCCAGGCAAGGACCTTGGCCACATGACCCCAGGAAACTCCACTGCACTGAATGCACTGCAGAGAGTTGCTGGCTTAGCTGAAAAACCCACTGGGAGAGTGGGTGTTGAGTGTGCAGCTGTGGGGAGACACCCTGTGTGCAAAGGCCAAGAGACGGTGCTTAACAAATGATGCTTTCAGATTTGGCATCTCAGTGTGCAGAAAGATTTGATAGCAATACTGAAAACTGCAATTAAATTGAGCTTATTACTGTTTGAGCTAAAACATGAGCTAGCAGTTGCTTAAGAAAAACAAAACAGCAAAGACCCAACTGTGCCAGGAAACAGGCTGAGCAGAGACTTCAGTTGCAGCTGCCTGCTCTATCACCATTTCACAGCCAAGTGAGGCAAAGGGACAGAAAAGAACAGAGAACAAAATAAGAACTCTTGCTAATTAGCAATTTCATTCTTTGAATACTTTCTGGACATTTGGGTTTTTGGGGGGTGGTTGTTTGTTTTGTACACATGTACATACATGCATACACACAGGAGCTTCTGAGGTATTTCAATTTAAGGGCAGCTGTGATTCTTTTGGACTTGCTGGCTCACTTGCACCAAAGCTGAGTGCAGAATGGCTCTGTGGGAAGAGATGGGCACAGGGTGATCTGCAGCACCACCAGCTTTCCTGGAAATAAGGCTAGCTGAGAGTTCAGCCAAAGGAGCCAGGTTTACATAGCTAGATCCATGAGAGATGACAAAGCCTCTTGGAAAAATATTTGGGAAGAGAGAGGTGAGAGTGTTTTGATCATGTTACTACCAGAAGAGCTATTCCAGGAAAACCAGCTCAAATTCTGCTCACAGCCTGCCAGAGGGAACAGCTGAATGAGAGATGGTCAAGAGAGACGAGTCCTACAGGGGTCAGCCACAAGCTGTCAATTATTATTGGGACTAGTCCAGTGCCAATTCCAGTCCACAGAAAAGTTTCCCATGTCTTTTGATGTATCTGGTGACTCAGGACACAGGGTCACATGAAAAAGCTAAAGTAAATTCCTCTTCCCTTACCAAGGTACATACCAAGGGCCAGAGACAATCCCTAATAGTTGGTGTTGATTGCTGGGAAAACATTTAATTCTTATCCCACCAACCAATTCTTTCAATACTTCTCCCTATACAAATTTACTAAGCCAATATTCCTCTAAAAATTATATTAGTATACGTGGAATATTCCATTCTCAATAGAAAAGCCATATCCCCCGTCTTCCCTGCCCCCACCACTGCCCCAGTGGGTGTTGTTATACATGAGCTTGAGTACTGCAGGGCCATCATCCTTATCTGAATTTCAGTTGTGATGACGCAAAGGAGCGTCAGACAGTTGTGTCCTGAAACACCCCAACATGTCCCTTGCAAGACAAGGGAGGCCAGCTGTTCCACCTCTGCTGGTTCATCCTGTGATCGTTCTGCAGCATCTACAAGGGACAAGTTACTGTTACCTGTGGCAAAAGACATGAAGGCAGCTGCTAGTTCGCATTCCATTTTCAAGCTACGTCGAGCCAGCTTCACATTAGTTTTGACATAGCAAGATCATTCCCATAAATAACTGGCTTTCACCCCACCAGCCATGCTTGACTCCAAAATAACCCAGTGTCTAAGTCTCTATTGCCTTGCATTCTTGGGCACAAGTTGCTCACCACAACATATAAGTATATTTTAAAAAGCCTAGGACAAGATACAGGTCACCCATTCCCAAGAGAAGCAAGAAGAGAGAAGATAGAGAGCTACTGTAAGGAGAGCTCAAAGGAACTAAGGCCCATCACAGGCTTCATCACCTTTTACTCAGAAGGCACATTCCCCTAAGCTACCCTTCTCTAACCTGAAAAGCATTCAAGCACCATGTGCTAATTATAACTGTATACAAACACCTCCAGCCACAGCAGCCTGCTACTCCTCTGTGTCTGGAAAAGGAGAAGAGCTGAAGATCAATTACCTAAAACAGATGTTAGCTGGGCAGCTGGGAAGACCCTTAGCTTCAGCTACCAGTTCTGAGAGGCAAGTGGGGAAGAAGGATCTCTTCAGATCCACATCTTCAGCAGCAGGGCTTTTGTACCAAGGTCATCACGATGCTCAGCTGTTGACATTAGACCACACTGATATCCATTTGCCAGCCAGCAAAAGGACAGTTGACCCAGAAAGTATTTCAAGTGGGGGAAAAAAACCCCACACCCTAGGACACAAGCAAAAATAGGAGCAGAGCAGGCTGAAGAGGGAGAGGAGCATTCTGGACATTCCATCCAGCAGCTCCTGTGACTGCAGCTCACCCATGATACTGCAGCTCCCTCTGGAAGGGCTCCACATCGGCACAAAGATCACGCTCTGTGCCAGGGACATTCCTGCTCCCTGGTTAGTGCAGCAGTAAACAGGATGCAAGCTTAAAGGAAAGGCTCTCCAACAGGGATGGAGAACAGAGGATGGCACAGACAGTGGATGGATGTAGGGATAGCATCTCCTGTCCCTCCTGGTAGAAGGCACACACAGAGAGGTCACACCCTAGACTGCAGATGCTGCCCCTCACCTGGACTAATGGAGCAGGCAGGGAACTGTGCAGGTCCCTGCTAAACCTGCTTCTCATTCACCACCAACAAGAATTCAAATGGACTCCTTCCTACACATCAGCAACACGCAAGGCACCACTCCTCTCTCCTCAGTCCCATTACCCAGCTAAGGCTCCAGACTGGCCAGACACACTGATATCAAAAGTTTCAAAAGGAAGCCAGTAAGCACAAGGAAGTGCAGGTGCTTTTGACATTCCTCCAGCACCTGGAAAGCCCAATGCCTTGTTAGTTTGGGATCGCATGACCAAACTATTTTGACTGCAAGGTTTTCAGGACAGGAGCCAGCTCCTATGTACCAGGGACCTCATTCTGGAACTGCTTAAGTTCTGCTTAGCTATCTGTTGGAGTAATGTTTGTGTGATGCTCAGCACAGATGCTTCCTGCAAGAGTCCCCACCTACAATCTTCACACTTTGCTTTCAATTCAGATAGTTGCTGAGCATCACTGGAGTTCTCATATTTCCCGTTGGTAGATCCCAGTCCAAGCTTGAATTTAGGAATGAGTCAGAAGGAATTTACGAGCATGATCACCCTCAAGGTGAATTTAGCTTGGTCGCCCATCTCTTTCTGTTGCAGCTGTTCCTGTACCTCATCCATGGAAGAGCTAAAAGCCAGTCTCAAATGATGAGCATGGGTTTCAGGAGAGCTGTCGCATATTCTTCCTGAGCACAAATCCCCAAGCTGCTCTAGCTCA